ATTTAACGCGGACCTGTTACAGAGCTACAAGTATAATTTATTTCTGTTCCTTTACATTGGTGAATAACATTACAATAAAAATATTATTAACATTTAACGCGGACCTGTTACAGAGCTACAAGATAAATTTATTTCTGTTCCTTTACATTGGTGAATAACATTCAAATAAAAATATATTAACATTTAACGTGGACCTGTTACAGAGCTACAAGATAAATTTATTTCTGTTCCTTTACATTGGTGAATAACATTCAAATAAAAAATACTTCCTTTACTAAAAGAAAAAAAAAACTCTTAAGTCATATTTTAGACAAAACAATTTTTTTATTTTTTTCACGTAACTAAAACAATTTTATTTCTGGTAGGTATTTAAGAACTGTTTATATAAACGTATAGAGCAAAATAATGTATTAATGCGTCAGGGTTTTCTCTTCCAGCAAGAAGTGAAAATTCTTAAATAATCTAGAATTTCGAAATAAATTTGAGCAACCTCCCCCCCTCCCCGCCAAATGACTAAGCGATAAATTTCTTTGTTTGTTTTTTGTTAAGCACAAAGCTACACAATGGGCTATCTGTGCTGTGCTCACCAGGAGTATCGATTGATTTGGTTTGGTTTGTTTTGAATTTTGCGCAAAGCTACGCGAGGGCTATTTACGCTAGCCGTCCCTAATTTAGCAGTGAAAAACTAGAGGAAAGGCAGCTAGTCATCACCACCCACCGCCAACTCTTGGGCTACTCTTTTACCAACGAATAGTGGGATTGACCGTAACATTATAACGTCCTCACGGCTGAAAGAGCGAGCACGTTTGGTGGGACGGGATTCGAACCTGCGACCCTCAAATTGCGAGTCAAGCGCCCTAACCAACTGGCCATCCAAAGGCCAGGAGTATCGAAACCGAAGTTTTTAGTCAGTGGGCTTATATCACTAAAAATCAGATTTCGATACCCGCAGTGGACAGACTTATTGTCACATTCAATTCTAACCATTAGTTTTAAGTCCTTAATTTTCCTGAACTTCAAATTGTATCCGTTTAGTATTACTATTACTTTTCCCCTTTTAAATGTATTGTCAAACAACAGTCGCTAACAAAACACACATTGATATATATATATATATATATTGGTCGCCACGATCCAAAGTGTTGATTAAAGCAGTGTGGTGGTTGGTTAGGTTGCTATAAAATGAAACACACCTTCAAGGCGGGATCAGGTTTTTAAGTTGCTATGCAGAAAATCCCGTTTTAACGATGCTTGTCTTTCTGTAGGCGTTATCTTCACGTGCCGCGCGTGCTCCATTGTTCTAATAAGCAAAGAAAAAAAAACTGAGACAATATTTAACAATACCAGAGTGAAAGAGATGAATAAAATACATGGAATGCTTGAAGGAATAGAAAAAATAATTCCGTAAAAAAAAAGTAAGACAGACAGAATAAATGAGGAAAGAGAGAAAAAAAAAGGGGTGGAAAAAGGCTAGATTTCGTTGAAATTGATTCCTGTCAATCTAGCTTGCTATGGAACGCTGGGTATATAAGTTAGAAAGGAAACCTGTCTTCAACCGTTAAATCCCTATCTTTAGATATCCCCACAAAACTTCTTGATATAACGACATACTATTGTGCAGTAATACTGATATAAAGTGTAGGCTATTGAACAATGTATAACATGTGCAGATCGCTGGATGTGTCAAAACGATCAACTTTCTTTTCTGTCACTACTGTATTTGATCTAAATTTCAACAAAGTCTATGATTTAGCAATTTACAGTATGACCTATATTTATTTCTAGTTGTTCTAGACAGTAGACTGTCGTCTCTAGTTGTTCTAGACAGTAGACTGTCGTCTCTAGTTGTTGAGACGATAGTGTACTGACTAGAACAACTAGAGACGACAGTCTACTGTCTAGAACAACTAGAGACGATACTCTACTGTCTAGAACAACTAGAGACGATAGTCTACTGACTAGCCTAGTTGTTCTAGTCAGTACACTATCGTCTGTAGTTGTTCTAGTCAGTACACTATCGTCTCTAGTTGTTCTAGTCAGTAGACTATCGTCTCTAGTTGTTCTAGTCAGTACACTGTCGTCTGTAGTTGTTCTAGTCAGTACACTATCGTCTGTAGTTGTTCTAGTCAGTACACTATCGTCTCTAGTTGTTCTAGTCAATAGACTATCGTCTCTAGTTGTTCTAGTCAGTACACTATCGTCTCTAGTTGTTCTAGTCAATAGACTATCGTCTCTAGTTGTTCTAGTCAGTACACTATCGTCTCTAGTTGTTCTAGTCAGTACATTATCGTCTCTAGTTGTTCTAGACAGTACACTATCGTCTCTAGTTGTTCTAGTCAGTACACTGTCCTCTCTAGTTGTTCTAGTCAGTAGACTATCGTCTCTAGTTGTTCTAGTCAGTACACTATCGTCACTAGACCTTCTAGTCAGTACACTATCGTCTCTAGTTGTTCTAGTCAGTAGACTATCGTCTCTAGTTGTTCTAGTCAGTACACTATCGTCTCTAGTTGTTCTAGTCAGTACACTGTCCTCTCTAGTTGTTCTAGTCAGTACACTATCGTCTCTAGTTGTTCTAGTCAGTACACTATCGTCTCTAGTTGTTCTAGTCAGTACACTATCGTCTCTAGTTGTTCTAGTCAGTAGACTATCGTCTCTAGTTGTTCTAGTCAGTACACTATCGTCTCTAGTTGTTCTAGTCAGTAGACTGTCCTCTCTAGTTGTTCTAGTCAGTAGACTGTCCTCTCTAGTTGTTCTAGTCAGTAGACTGTCCTCTCTAGTTGTTCTAGTCAGTAGACTATCGTCTCTAGTTGTTATAGTCAGTACACTATCGTCTCTAGTTGTTCTAGTCAGTACACTATCGTCTCTAGTTGTTCTAGTCAGTACACTATCGTCTCTAGTTGTTCTAGTCAGTAGACTATCGTCTCTAGTT